TCACAATCTCAAGGCTAACAGGACGTTAAGATATGAGAACAAGAAATTCAGTTCCTGGTTAAAGTGTGGGTTAACACAATTAAATGTAAGCCCACGACCCCAACCATTAATAATAAAAGATTTGCAAAATATATAATTTACTTTTAACCACAACATCCCAACAATTAAATGGATAATTCGATTTCACTGTAAAGCTTATGATATTTTAAAGATAAATATATAGTTTTCGTTCTCGCCTTTTTCTAAAATGTTGCCAATTTCAGCAAGGACTATTATTAGGAACACCAATTTAAAATACCAATTTAGAGAAAATTGTATAATATTCGCTTGGGACTCTGAAGAAGTCAAAATTTATTAATTTAATTGATATGGGCCAATTTAAAAAAATATATAGAACATACGCATTTACCAAAAGTTACTAAAATAATGTTTCATATTATTTATATATTTATTTAAATTTTAATTACTTTTTTAGAGCCATGATGAAAGAAAGAAATGGATAATTGAAAACTGTAAGGAAGCAGAACTACTACTTGCAAAACATAACTCTAAATTTCATAAAATCTCAAAAAAAAATAATAAACATCTTCTAAAGGAAAATTAACTATGTACTTAAAAATTATCGTCTTGTAGTTCCTATCCGTGTCAGATGTTGGCGATCATCATGGCAATCTGTACTTTGTACAGTCCAGCTGTGAAAAGGTTTGTGGTTGTTGCGTTGAACTACGTACGTAGATTATTCAGCCAGGTAATCCTTCGTCATTCTGTCTCTCCTTGATCCTGTATAAGGTCTTCAGGATTTGACGATAAAGACATATTTCGAAAGCCTCAATTTCTATCTTGCAGGTAGCGTCTGTTAAGGTCCACTACTCAACTCGGTACAACAGTACATGAAAGATATATAAGATCGTAGTAACCCGATTTTTATGGGTATTGAGAAATCATGACATTTGGATAGTCTTGACCATATCTCTGACTTACAGCTGGTGGTCCTATCCATTAAATCCTGGAGGACTTTATAACTGTCAGCGAATACCACCGTGTCGTCCGTGTAGCTGATGTAATTGATATATTTTCCGTTAATTCAAATTCTGGCTTCAAGATCCCCTACTGCTTCTTAAAAGATTTTTTCAGTGTGTATGTTGACAACTATAAATCACTGCTGCATCCCAAGTTTGATTTTAATAGCATAGAGTTCTCCTGCCTCTTTACGGATAGGCGATGTTTGATTCAAGTAAACATTAATATCGAAGGACGCAGAGGAATTGGTAGAAAGCAGGCCTCTTGGTTGAAGAATATCAGGGAGTGGACAGGAATAAGGAAAGCGGAGCAACTCTTTAGAATAGCTCGAGACAGAGACAGTTTCGCCATGTTAATAGCCAACGTCAAGGGGACTTGATAGGGTACGTTAAGATGAAGAAGAAACATTGATAATGGTCCATAAAATATAATAACATCATAATAGATCACAACTTACTTGAAGCCAAATAACTCTTGAAAGATTTTGACCTTCCACAAGGAATCTACGTCAATGTAGTTGGCTGCATACCATATATTAAAAAATTTATTAAAAATCCTTTGTAAAAGGTATATATTTAACTTAGCCCGTTTGGTTCTAAATATATACCTTTTACAAAGGATTTTTAATAAAAGATTTTGACCTTCTTCACAGTTCCTCGCCATTTCTTTCTGTCCTGTGTTGCTGTTAAAGGTCTATTAACACATCTCTTTCAAATTTCTCGTCACATTGTCACTGAGTCTCTGGAGGACGCCTTTCTATAGGTTGTAGCGTAAAGATAGTTTTCGGTTTCGTATCTCAGTTATCATTGCTTGTTAGTGCATTTACCTATACAGGCCAATCTACAGAATCTTACTTGTTTGCTAACAAATACTTGTTACTACTGCTCTACCTTCTTTTTTTGTCTGTCTGGAATTCTCCATGTTTTCGCTCCATACAATAGGCTGCTCTTAACCATTGTCTCGTATATATTAAATTTTCTCTTTTTTGTTATCTCCTTGCTCCACAAGATGCCATTCAGACATCATATTATCTTTTTAGCTGTATCTGAAAGATACAGCTCTGAAAACTGTAAAATAAACTCTAAATTTTCGCTCTGAAAGCCTACACATAGATATTTCGTTTTATTTACGTTAACTGTCAAGCCCCATTCCTCATACTCTTCTATCAGCTTTCTAATCATATATTGCATGTCGTCTTTGTCATTGGCCACTATGACCTGATCATCTGCAAACTGAAGAGTAAACAGGTATCTGTCATCTATCTCTATACCAATTCCATGTATTTTCCTTTTCCAGTTCTTAAGTGCCGCTGCTACATATATTTTGAATAGTGTAGGAGAGATAGGACATCCTTGACGTAGTCACTTATTCGCTATGAAGGCATCTGTGGGTTTTTTACCTATCTTAATTCTTGATTGTAAATTTTCATACAGTTCTTTAAATGCAGCTATATAGTTGTGATTGATGTTCGTTTGTTCTAATACCTTCCACAGTCTCGATACTGGGACTGTATCATATACTTTTTGTAGGTCCACAAATGTAAGATGGGTTTGTAGATGTCTAGCAGATCTCTTCTCTATGACTCGTTTTAAAAAACAGACGTTGTCAGTACACGATCTACCTGCTCTAAAGCCGCTTTGATCTTCTTCTTCTTTCTCTTTGTAGTCTTCTTCAATTAAATCTCGCAGTATTCTACTGTTTAGTCTGCTCAGTGTACTCGTGATTGATATGCCTCGATAGTTGTTACAGTCCAGTTTATTTCCTTTTTTATGGATGGATGATATATAAGCTGTTTTCCAGTCTTCTGGAACAGGATGTCCATTTAGGCATTTATTGATAATTATTGTTAGATTTCTAAAGAGTTTTTCCGTTCCCCATCTTAACATTTAGGAGAAAATCCTTTCTGGTCCGCTAGCTTTCCCTAACTTAAGGTTCAAAACTGTCTTTTTTACTGTTTCTTCGGACACCTCTACTTCTTCTCCATTTACTACAAATTGTTTTGGAGATTCTATCATGTATTTCTGTCTAGTTTCTTGTAGTAGACCTTTGTAGTGTTGTATCCACTGCTCCGGTTTGATTATCTGAATATTTGCTCTGTCCTTTGTTTGACCCCATTGTTTGGGGTAATTGCAACACTCCTGTTATAAAAACTACAAGAATATTAGAGTGATGACAACCATGTTTATAGATAAAATCATTGTTTATTTTTATATTAAAGTAGGTAATAGGTTAGAAATACTCACCACATTAATGCGAAAAACTGTAAATATCACTCAAGCAGGCCGTTGTAAATGAAGATTTCACTAAAATTTTGGATCAACTTAAAGAAACAAAATGCCTTCAAATGAGGTTAGGACTGTTGTTCAAGTAAGAATTAGTGAAGAAGAAGGTGTGCCAATCTGTTAAACTTGAAATTCCTACAAATAAGGATAAGAACAACCTATGCTCCAGTTACCCCTTGCTCCAGTTACCCCGGAGCACCTTACATACTTGGTCACACACCAAGAAGCAAATCTTCAACATGTTGGATATTTTAAAAAAAAAAAAAAAACTGTTGGAGGCAGGATGCTACAGAAGATTGCCACTATACATTTGTAAGACCAAGAACACATATTTTATTGTAAAGTACAATATTCGTATTTTTGTTATACCAGAACAATATATTTTATTTTGTTTTATTTTTTCATGTATATTTTTTTTACATTTCGCCTCAATAAATAAACGGGTACTTACTTCTTTAATTTACTTCAAAATTTTGTCGTATAATTTGAAAATTATAGGTGCATATTAATATAGCAATTTATACCTCTTCAGGAGCCCCTCATCATCAGCGAAATCAATCTAAATCTAAAAGGAAAGAACAGAGGTAGCGATTTTTATTCACACGGTGTACACAACTTCCAAGAAACGATACCAATCTTGAAAAAAGTTCCAAATTCGTAAAGTTGGAATGAAAAGAGAAATACACAATGATGTATTAATGTTTTCAGTGGTGCGCCCGCGCCCGTCGGCTCGTGGTCTATACTTAAGTGTCTCCAGAGGCGTTCCTCAAAGGGTCGCACACAGGCGGCTGACTTCAGGCCGTACCCGAGGCGCCCTCGAACTCTTATAACCGATAATTTCATTGTTTATGTGGGTGGGGTGACTCGCAACCGATTATAAAATGATTCGAGAAATTTTCCCAAGACTCTAAATGTATAATTGCATGTTTTGTTTCTGCCTGGCTTGCCTTTGCCTGCCTAATGATGACGAAGATCGTACAGTAAATAATCGCTCATACTATCACGTAGATTATGCGCCGAATATTATACACTGTCCCGAATTCTTCGGAGGTGTACGTGTTACCGTATTATAGGTGGTTATTAGTGATAGTTTTTTGGTTGCCTAACCGCGAAAAGATCTTTTCGATTGTTAAGCATTTACTTTCTCACACTTCAATTAGAGAAACACATTATATAAACGTTTTCAAAGCGTTGTTGACCTTTATTATATTTGAAATAACCGACTACTTTGTTAAATATCTAGTTCTTCTTGTTTGGCATTGTACTAGTCTGTAGTATGTTTATAATTATTTTTACTGTAGTAACTACTATTTAAAAATAGAATCGTAGCTCTCGAATTAAACTAAGTTCTTTTATTTTGTAGATAAGAAACTGATTATTTAAAGACGTTGCTTGCAAAATATTTAGAGCAGTCAACAGGACTGTTGTATATGTTATATGTTTAATTTATATCATCTCACTTGTCATTGCTGTATGTCTTCCTAAAGTCACTTGTCATGAGACATCCATATTAAAAAGATACCTTATATTAAGTCTATAATAGATACGTTTTACACAGATTTAGCCTAAATACACAACAGTAATTTGGCGAAGAAATTATTGCTACTCCTGCAATGGCAATTGTAGTAACATGGCCTTTATAGGACAAATCAAACCTTTCAAATCCAGAGAGGATGATGTAACCACATATTTGGAAAAATGGAGCAGTTGTTATTGTGCAATGAGGTAGAAAACGAAAAAAATGAACCATTGTTCCTTACATTAGTGAGAAAAGAAGCTTATAAAACTATAAAAGATTTAACTGCTCCAAAAGTCTCAAGTACCAGAACTTATTCACAGTTGAAATCCAGTACCAGTAAGTTAACACAGTAGTGTTAACACACTATAGCCCAAAAAAGTTAGTAATAGCCGAAAGGCTTGTCTTTTATAATTGCTACCAGGAATCTCATGAGAATCTTACAGAGTTTGCTGAGAAATTAAAAAGTTTATCTAAAGACTGTAGTTTTGGCGAATTTCTGGATGAAGCTCTTCACGATAAATTCGTCTGTGGGCTAAAAGCTGATAATATCAGAAAACGATTGTTAGCCGAAGACAATTTGACATACCCTAAAGTATTGCAAATAGCTGTAGCAATAGAAGTAGCAGGTCAAGCTAGGTTAGTAGGAGGAGATGTAAACAAAGTGTGTAACATAAATTTTTTAAGTAAAAAGTCGAGTAAGTTTGATAAATACCCAAATCAAAGTAATGTCAAGCCTGATAATAGAGAGGAGCGTTGGTCTTGTCCCAAATGTGCAAGTAGACATAACCCTGCAAATTGTCCTTCGAAAAATTGAGAATATTTTCCTTGTCACAAGAGAGGGCACACCAGCCGTGGCTATAAAAGAGTCAACTATTTAGGTCCAGAAAATCAAGAAAACTCAACAGCGGGTTGCTTCCACGTCAGGGATTACAATTCGTTCTGGTAGAGTGTCCAAAGCAGGTTGGACTTGAATAATATATATCTTATTTTAAGGAGAAAGAAATGTTGTATATGTTGTATGTTTAACTTATGTCATGTCAATTGTCATTGTTGTATGTCTTACTAAAATCACTTGTCATGAGACATCCATATTAAAAAGATACCTCATGTTAAGTCTATAATAAATAATTGTCTTTTATGTAACAATAAAACATTGAAAACTTTGTTTTCAAACTTCCACAAAATTTATTTTAACTGATCACTACAGTTGTTTGGGCTAATTGCCTTTCTCAAGTGATCTATTTTTGGCATGCGTTTACATTTTATAGTCTCTAATGGAATAGGTTGAAGAGGGGAGAACTGTTTGTCTCAATTTGGTCATTCAGAATTATATCTGTGCTTTTTAATTTGTTGATTTCCATAGATTCTAACAAGGATAGCTTAAGGCCTTTATTTTGAATGTTCAAGACATCATCGTCATCGTTGCCACCTGCAGTCAACAAGGTTGCAGGTACGAATTGACCTTAGTCCTAGCAGGTCTCTTAGGACAAAATATTTTAAGTAAGTACGTACTAATCCCTAGTGTGTAAAAATTTAATTCCTAAATTTTACAATAGAACCCTAATATAAGTATACAATTTTTAACTTACGTCAAGTTTTAAAAGCACCCCTACTCAAGAAAGATCCCATTCGGTGGATAATCCATAATTTTTCCTTTTCTTTATTAACTCTTTCACTGCTTTTGACGAGTATACTCGCGTAAATCATAAGAACTGATTCAATGTGCAGTAGAACTTTGTTATTCGATATATGACGTCACCTGCTCATAGACAAGTCGAATATTGCGTTCCGTCTCTGTCCGCGCACACTGACTGTACATACGCTCAGACTGATCTAGACGAGTTAAGTCGCATAAGGTATTATACAAAATATTTGCTTGGTTGCAATTTAAACACGAATCAGTATTGTTTTATTCGTCGCGAAAATGGGACGGAAATATCTTACTGATGCAGATCTCGCCCGTATGCTAGAAGAAAGTGATTTTGAAGATAATTTTATGAACGATTTTGAGAGTGACGATGGATGGCCAAAAAGCAATGAAGAAGATGCAGGAGGTAAACTAAATATATATTTATTAAGCTTTTTGTACTGCACGTTGATCTCAAAACGTGTGTTGTATATTTTTGTGTTTGTGTTGATTTTATATAAGCATTTATTTCATTCTAGCATCAACACTCGTGGAAAAATCACAAAATGTTGCTGAAAACGAGGCTGAAGATGATGCAGAAAATGAAACTGGAGATGAATTGAACAACACACCAGCCGAACAGTTAACAACTATGGAAGCTGCAGCATTTGTTTGGAAAGATGAAACGTTTTTACCAGTCATTCACCTTTTTGATAATACTAATTCTGGAAGTAAAATATAGTTGTTTATCAGATACGCCACATGCTGTAGGTTTTTTAAAAGCTTTTTAACCCCCCAAATAATGAAGAAAAGTGCCATACGATAAATAACTAAATATGCATTTAAAAATAAAAAAAGGTGCAAGTTATTGATTTTATTACATATAAAGTACGTTTGATATCTTTTCAGAAATTGGTTCTGAAATAGGATAAGAATCTATAAATGGATGTTAAGTTAAGTTTGTTTTTGACGGTTGTAAGCTTGATTTACTCCCTTTTTTAGTATTGAACTTTTAATTACCTTATCTACAGCAGAAAGAGGAAAACCATCGTTGGTTGCTATTTGTTTTATAATTGAGATTTCTGTATTATAATTTTCTTGGAGCATCGGGATTTGAAAAAGTCGGTGAATATAACATTCAATACCTTCCATCTTATGTTAGAATGGATGATTAGATAATGTACGTATCTTATGATCAGTTTCAATAGGTATTCTAAAAATTGAAAAGTCTAATTTAGAACAAGAAGAAGAGAAGAAATATTTTTATTGGTTAAATCTAAAAAGTTAGTAATGTTGTTATTTTCTAACTCTAAGGTTAAATTAATTGCATGATATAATTTTTTGAATAATTGTAACATTCTTTTTATATAATTAAAATAATTATTATTTTTAATCCCTTTACCCCGGTTGCAGAGACGCCCATGGTTGTATTCGCAAACGGGTTGTTAAATTTTTTTGGAAACTATCGAAAAATTACGGAAGAATCTACCTACTTATTTAAAGACGCCGGGTTGGTTAATCCTTGGCTGATCTCTTTCCGATTTCGCGTCCAGTTCTTTTGATAGATTTGTTAAATATCGTCGAAGGCACGTTATAGTAATTTTTCTGTAAAAACCTAATTCAGAAGATTTTATTTTCCTCACGTTCCAAATTACGAGTACCGAATTACCTCGAACCGTTCGATGTCGTTAGAATCTTACTTTCTTAGAAATACATACAGGCTGACCTGTCGTTTTTGAGTGGAAGATATCCCACCTTTCTTGGGTATTTTGGTAAATTTTTAGAGAAACCACATTACTTCTAGCTGGACGATCCTTGAGTAAGGATTCTTGCCTAAATTACCGTCTCTGCATTTTTCTTTAAGTGTGTATACACTTACATATTTGAGTTTCTTAATCTAATACTCTGTTAGATTAAAATTGGTTATAAACTACCTTTTATTTTAATTAACTTCACTGCTTGATACAAGTAAAGTATTATAGTAAAGTATATTAACTTCAGTGCAGTGTAGATCGAGAATTACTGTAAGTTATCATAATCATAGTATCTTCAATTATCTGGGCGAATCTAACGTTATCAATATCCATTTTTTCACCTGTAGTTAAGGTTAACTACTGAGTTAGCATTCAATCAAGGCACATTTAATAATTTCATATGAACTTTCTATCAGTTTTTAAGAACTTCTAAATTACGAACATATAATTCTCCGTTAATCATTAAACAACAGTGTGAACAGATAATTAACTTAACCAGTGCGGGTTGGTTAAATTTTTATTTCTGTAATCTTTTTGTATTCCTGTGAATTTAAATTTGATTAATTTTAGTTATTTGCTATTATTGTTATACATTTTTAACCCGTTATCTCGAGGTATGCCCAAAAAACAGCAAAGAGAGACTTTTTTAATCAACTTTGGTTCAATTTTTTTTAATCACTATCAGGCTCTCTTCGCTGATAATTTAATCTGTGCATTATTATATTGTTGTATTTGTAAAGGTATTTATTATTCATAAAACTGTTTATTTTTATATGTATACCACCATTTAATAATTGATGGTGGTGCATTTTTTATTACTTGTGTGTACATTCAGCTCCCTATATCATTGTGGTGTTGAATATATTGTTTTTGTTTTATGTATGAATTTTATTTCTCGACTCCCAACAAGTTTCCTGATATAACAATACCTCTGAATATTTCTTTATTATATTAAATTCCACCTAATATATTTATTATTTGTTTATGTAGAGTGTTGACCACATTTATTTAATTATTAACTGTTGATATCTCTCCTTGAATTTGGTTTCAAGAACCTAAATATCTTTCCTTATCTCTTTTCTTTTCTAAGGTTTCGTAATCTTATCTTTGGTAATTTTACCCATCTATCTTTTTGTTTATTTCTGTATCTTTTCTAATATATCTTATCTTGTCGTATCTTTACTTTTTTCGTCCGTTAGAGCCATTCCCGGTTCCAAAAGCTAGTTTCGAACCCACGACTCGCTCTCCACCAACCATCTGGCTGCCGTCCGCAGTGTCTCCATTGATGACCTTTCTAGCACCATCCAAAAAAGATTTCCGAGGTTACATAATGACAAAATGTTGTGTGGTTCTGAAGTTGGGCCTTCTATAAAGATAAAATGACATCACATATCTGTACCATAAGATTATTTTTGGTTGGAATGAACAACAGTACCTATTTTCAAGAGAATCGAGGAAAAGATCTGCAATGTGCAAGTAGGGAAGTTAAAGAGAATCTTGAGACAGGCAGAATTGGAGTAGAGAAGTAATTTGTTAACATTTATTGGAATCAATTGCAAGTAAAAGATTATTGATGATTGGAAAGGTGTCTAATCTGGAAACAGATAATTTTAAGCGGCAGATTTTAAGAAAATATATATTTTTTTAACTTCCCATGCTGTAAATTTCTTTAAAATTTTGATTTATTTCTCTGACTTGATTGCGAAAAGTTATAATTATCGATAAAATAAAGTTAATAAAATGTATAAAAAAATGTAGAAAACGTGTAAAAAAAGGAGAATAATAAACCAGCTGATCATACTTAAAAAGTTGACTAATAACAAAAAAAAATAATTCAAAAAATATAAATTTATTTAATAAATAGAACTATCCTCTTTTGGTTTTCCTTTCTATAGGGTATTGAAGAAATTACCGCATTGTAAATATTCTCATACCGCATCGTACCTATTCATCTATACTAGTTTCGTATATAGTCTAGAATATATTAGGTAGCAGTAAAACATACTTGACAGCTCCAAATTTAAAAACGTGCTAATGATCCTATCCGCCAAAAACAACCATTAACGGTCGTTAGAGGCGGTTACCTATTTTACCAAATAACATCACTGTCTGGTCTTCGGTAATATCAATTACAAAACTGTCAGCCCATTTCCGAATTTTTCTATCCATCTTACTTAGAATTTGCCCAAGCGGCAAGCTCTAATGCAGACCCAGGAATATTCTGTATTAATTTATAACCTGCCGCTACTGTCATTATAGTGTTTTGTGGCAAACTGCCACTGACATTTTTTTAAAGAATTATCTTATGTTTGGGAAATATTAAATTAATAATGCGGTTAGGTTCTTAGAAGGAGGGTACAGTGGTAAAATAAACCGATACGATTGTATCAATTACTAATGATTCATTTTATGTCATTTTGAAATGAAAAATAA